GCACTAAGTGAGAACTTCATAACACCCATCCCCATGGTAGACCATGAAACAAATAGGAAGGCCAAAAAGAAACGTTCACGACGTCGCAAGACGACAAGAACGCTCCCCAAGAAGACAGACGACTGCAAGGTCTGTGCTTCTGTTGTCGAACAAGCAGACTCTGCTTTCGAATGTAACTTTTGCAACCGATGGGTGCATTGCAGATGCGACAGTGGGGTACCAAAAGCATATTATGACTTTATGCGTAAAAACCCATGCCAATGGTTCTGGTACATATGCCCGAGTTGCCGTCCTGATGTAGCCTCGCGTAGTCCTTTGAAAACTAAAGATGGCACAGAAGTAGCGGGGAAAAAGGTGAAAAGCTCGACCCCCACCAATCCGGAAGTTAGTACAAACGCGCGTAAACCGGGGATACCAAAATCCTCACCGGTTAAACTTGTAACTCTTGCCATAACCGCTCCAGACACAGAGGCTGGAGAACCACGGGTTTCCGTCGTTGGAAAAAGACCCCAACCGTCTATCAGTAATGCTGGCTATAGCACTGAGACACATAAAAATACCCAGTCGCACCAGTCAAACCAAAACGGTCTTAAAGGTGATCACAAACGTGCGAGGACCGAGCCCAAGCCCACGGTTAGCAGATCAAATTGTGTAATCCTCTTTAATGTACCAGACTGTAGCAGTAGTCTGCTGAAAGATAGGGCCCTATTTGATCAGGAACAGTGGTCCATCTTGAGTAGCACACTGGGTTTGGACATCCAACCAGTAAATCTATGCAGATTGTATAGGGGCACTGCTGCACCTGAAGGCAAACCATCCCCACTGAGGGTAACATTGGGCTCTACCGAGGATGTTGAAAAAGTGTTACTGGCTTCTCAAGTCCTTTCTATAGGGAGGGCCTGTAACATACGTGTTAAGCCAGACAGGCCGTGGAAGGAAAGACAAATGGCGAGGGAGTCGCCAGAGCTCATTCCTTCTGCCTCCATGGTTGTGCATGGCATTCCCGAACTGGTAACTGGGAACGCCTGCGAAAAGCATTGTCATGATGTACAACAATGGAGATGGTTAGCATCCCAGATGGCCCTGGGAAGTTCAGGGGCTGTCTCTATTTATAGACTGCCTCGACCCACTCATCTTATGTCAATTAACTCGCCACGTCTGTTAGCTGTCAAGTTCAGCTCCCAAGACCAGTTGACTACCGCTCTCCATAGATGGTACGAGACCAAGGACAAGGTCAGCAAACACATTCGCTGCTGCGAGAGCCGGCCTCGCACTCAAAGGAGAGAACAAAGCGTAGTAAAAGAAAATCCTCAACCCCTAGTCACACTACAGCGGTGCAGCACGGACGATGATAGCCAGTGTCATCCGAGTGCTCCAACTGAACTAGAAGAAAAAAACGCCAACAGGCCGGTTCCTGGGGAATCGGCCAACTAGTTCGTAGGATAACTCCTCAACCGATAGCCAATATCAAGTCAACTACCCCCCAATACGGGGAAGTGGTGAGACTGACTACCAGTTGCCTGTATAGTAATGTGAGAGGGCTAAGAGGCAAAATAGCTGAACTTAGACACCTACAATCACAACTAAACTCCAAAATCATAATACTGACGGAAACCTGGCTAACCCCTACGGTGGCAGACAGCGAAGTCAGTATAAATGATATGGTCCTAGTCAGGCGAGATAGGGACCTGAAAGAAGGAGGTGGAGTCGCCATATACGTCGACAAACAGCTCAGATGTGTTCACGCGATGGACCCTCCCCTCACAGAGCTCCCTGACTCCATATGGTGCCACTTCACCGTTGGGTACTGCAAATATCTAGTGGGCAGCATTTATCGATCACCTTCATGTGGAGCAGACCACAACCAGGTACTGCTAAATACAATCTCAGCAACTCAAGACATGGGTTATGATCAAATTGTCATAGCTGGTGACTTCAATGCCCCATCTCTTAACTTGGTGTCGGGAAAAGCCCATGATAGATTTGATCGAAATCTGCTGCATACCATCAGGAAGGCTGGATTCACTGAAAATGTCAAGATGGATACTAGATGGGGCCCTGATGGGAAGTCTTCTAGACTGGATTACGTGCTCACTAGTGACCAGCTACTAGTGGAAAACGTTCAGATCACGACTCCCATAGGTAGTAGTGACCACGCGGTCATAGTATTCGACATAGTCCTCCGCGAGCGCTTACAGTGGGACAATACACAGCCCTATCTGTGTTATAACAAAGCCAACTACACCAAAATGCGAAGACTTCTGTCTGAAGCAAACTGGCCTAAAAAATGGACAGAGCTAACAGTAGAAGAACACTGGAGAGTGGTAAAGGAAATCATTCACCAGGCGGTCTCAGACACTGTTCCTTTAGTCTCACCAAAAGCTAGGAAGCAACGATCATGGCTGAAAAGGGGACACAACGCCTTCTGCAGGCAAAGCGAAAAGCCTGGTTCGCGTGGCGACGATCGAAGAGTCAACCCGAATATGAAGTGTACCTTGAACTCAGGAATCGATGTAACATACGAGTCCGGAGCGATAGAAGGACATTTCAGGGAGACCTCGCCAATAAGCTTCTCGTGAACCCCAAAAGCCTATACAGGTTTATGGCCGAAAGAAAACCGACCAACCAGGGAGCATGCAATCTAGTGGGTTCTGATGGGAAATCTCTTACTAGTCTTGAAATGGCAGAGACATTCAGCCTAGCCTTTCACAGGCAACTAAATAGTAACGAGGATATTACCCCTACAGAACATCCAGATTACATCGCAAAACCAACACACGAAAACCTGCTGGGGACATTTCAAATTACCCCGGCTATGGTACTTGCAAAATTGGGAAGGTTGGCTTCGGGAAAGTCTCCAGGTTGTGATGGCATCAGACCATCTGTCCTGAAGCAGTGTTCAGAAAGTCTCTGTCAACCCCTAAGTGATCTGTTCCAACACTCCCTTGATGTAGGGAAACTTCCATGTGAATGGAAACGTGCAATCCTATCCCCTATCTTCAAGGGTGGTGACCGGCAGAATGTGACCAGTTACAGACCAGTTGCTCTACTTCCAGTGGTATCGAAGATATTGGAAAGTCTCATTGACGACCACATGAGAAAATACTTCGATGGGACTAACCTTCTTCACGAAGCACAGCACGGTTTCAGGAGGGGAAGATCCTGCGTGACGAATCTTCTACTAGCCTGGAACGATTGGACACTATCCTGGGACAAAAAGGTACCAGCCCACGTGATCTTTCTCGACTTTGCGAAAGCATTCGACACAGTTCACCATGGTCTGCTCCTTCACAAAATAGGCAAGGCGGGAGTTTCTGGAGCACTTCTCGCATGGCTGAAAGATTACTTAGGCGAGAGAGAATTCTGCACCAAAGTCAACCGCATCCGATCATCCTGGCACACCTCGGCATCAGGGGTTCCTCAGGGTTCTATCCTAGGGCCGTTGATGTTTTTGATTTTTATCAATGACCTGCCCCCCAACTAAACTGCTCTGCGCTTCTTTACGCTGACGACGTAAAGATTTGGAGAGCAATAAACTCATCGGAAGACTCAGATAGATTGCAGGCTGACCTGCAAACTCTGGGAAATTGGGCTTTGGCTAACGGAATGCCTTTCAATCTAAAGAAGTGCAAAGTAGTGCAGCTTCATTCCGGCAGGTCACAGAGTGTAAATTACACCCTTGGTGGCCAGAACTTGAGTTGTGTTCCATCAGAGCGTGATCTAGGTCTTATTCTAACAGAAAAGCTAGACACCAGTGGAAATTACTCGAGGGACGTCGCCAAAGCCTACGCAACATTACACTTTATGCACAGGCAGCTGGGAGCTCTCACTCCCGAACTGTTCTTAAGGCTATACAAGGCATATGTGAGGCCACACCTTGAGGTGCATAATATCATTGCACCTCCGCTACTCAAAAGGGATGCTAACATTCTAGAAAGTGTCCAGAGACGAGCGACAAAATGGGTGATCGGCCTCCGCAACAAATCATATGAGGAAAGACTAAAGAAATTAGGTCTTTTCACACTTAGTTACCGTAGGCACAGGGGAGACCTCATCACCGTCTACAAGATCCTAAATGACCAGGCCCACCCAAATAAAAGCATCCTGCCATTAAGCGATTATAGGCTTCCACGAGGTAACCCGCTAAGGATAGCACACCAGAGACCAAAGACTCGAGTGCGATCACATTTCTTTTCGCTTCGTGTTTGCCGTCTCTGGAACGCTTTACCGGCGGCCGTGACTACAGCGCCATCTCTGGAGATTTTTAAGCGGAAGCTAGACAATCATGCAGAAATGCAAGGTTTGTGTCTCAATGGCTTATCCTCATAAAATTTGAAACCACACTGTCAATGATAAGCGTACAAACTAAATCCCCACGACCTATTCTGCCTTCTCTCACTCTATCTTTTCCTTAGGTCACCTTTATTATTCCACTTATCTCAACCTATATTATCTACACTACAACCTATTATTATTATTACTATTCTGCTTTTATGACTACACCGAATGACCAACGGGAGTTAGGTCAAACTCCATTCACGGCAGCAATACAGTCCTAACATACTGCATACTACAAACCACATCTCGACCAATCCCCGCACCACTCCTCCTGGAGTCTACCAGAGCTAAAGCAGTCGAGTGTCGGGACTTACTACGCAGAAGCTCACCGAAGATCTGGAACCTCTACCTCACAATCAAGAAGCGAGCTCAAAGAAATCACTGGTTTATACTAGCTCGTAATCAGGATATTGGATATTGGATATTGGAATCACAATGAGCATTAGTGACCTTCAAGTGCTCACCCTCTCCATAAGCTATTTGTGCCCCTACCCTCCCTCCTGACTTCCATCAGAAAGGTATCTGACAGCATTCTTTTCGTAGTGTGGAATTTTCGTGTTACTTTTTGACCGTAAATAATATCGACCGTCATCTGTTTTCTTTTCATCCATAGTTTGCTGTAGTGTTTTTGATCCCCAATTACCTGTAGTCTCTGCTGCAGAATGGATGATGCAGAGGACAACGAGAAACCAAGGAAGCCCACAACGCATGATGAGCGAGGTGCAGCTGACTTGGAACGTGTTACTGATTATTTCGAAGAAAAAGAACTCAGTGTTGGACTAGACGCAGTTAAAGCTGTATCAGATACTGCTGGTGATGCCGTTGCCGCTGACAAAGCTCAAAAACAGAAACAAATGCTAAAGGTTAAGGTCAGAAATGAAGACATAGCTTTGATCGTGAGTCTCTCTTAATGTATACAATTAAATAATGGCCCAAGTATTTTTCCTCAATAATGTGAAAGTCATATCTCATATCAGTAATTAGTAGTCGTTTTGAAATTTCGCAAAAAATATCTTGATGTTCATACATCATTCGCAAATGATGTATAGTTGGAGTTAAGAATTATTTGTGAGGGTCTGGTTCAAAACATCTGCTGAATGTTGTCTTTCCACTGAATCTTGGTTAACGTTCATTATTAAGAATGTTCCTCCGCAGTCCGACAAAGCACTTAGGCAAAGTGAAGAAAACGTGGGTAAAATGCAACATAAAATACCCAATTTCCCATTTCTTCCAAAATCTTGACTACCCACTGTTAGCCATTTTACCAATGTCACTCCCAAAATTAGCCCACCTTACTCAGTTTTCAGCAGAAATTTGCCCACGTCTTCACAAACATGTTTAAAAATTTTTCCGGCCGGGTGACGTGTCCGTAAAACCCTATTATTAGCTCAATCCTTGATGGACACATTTAGATAATGAAGGACAGTGTGCTCTTGTAGCCATTGTTGGTCCTTGCAAATTATATTTCCGTAGAGATATAATTCCTCTTAGAAAACTTTCACGGATGGAACTGACATAGCCTGATTGGGTTAGGAGTTCCAGTCGTTGGCCACTCTGTGTGACGATCTAAAAACAACACGTATTTTAGTTCAATGTTCAAAAACCTTGTTACCTCGCAAACGAATCTTCATGACGTCTCTCCATAAGATTAGCATACCTAAGCTCCGCCACTATTCTTTTGTACCACGGCTCAAACCATTTGTAATGTCTCATACGTGAGTTAAAAATTCTTATGAGCCATTTGTGAGCTTTTATTCGTCCCTCTTCCTCGCCAACTTCGAAATGAATGCAATCAACGTTGTTTAGAGCTTATGTCAACTGGTTTGAAGCAAATTCGTCTTATATTTCCCACAGATTTACTTCCTGCCATTGCAAAGTACCTGATACATAATGAGAACGAAAAAAGGACGTCACAACTCATAACTCAGTTTACGAAGCTGTATCAATTGAGATGGCTATGGCTGATGTGTGTGTGTGTTTGATGCATTCCGACCCATCACCTACGTCGTCGAGTAATGTCAGCTGATATAGGATTAGGTTGAGAAAGAGTAAGGGGTGGTCAGACCAAAAGATGTTACCAATCGGTGAGGACTATGACTGTTGGTTTGAGGCATATAGAGAGGTGTAGACTGTCTGGTTGGGATCGTCGAGACTGTTGATGACATAGTTGAAAATTTGTTGTCGATGGTGGAGCTCCATTAACTTTTCATGAACTCCTAAATACATCAAATTCACATTATTCCATACGTTCTTATTCTTTCTTCGGTGCATTTCCACTAATTGTCGTTTCTCTGAATCATTTTCTTTACGTTTGTATGTTGTGTGTGGGGACTCGAAGTGCTTTATTTTTGTTCAAAGTTCTCCGTTGCAAATGAGCACTATATTGTGGTCAAAATGTCATCATAATGTAATACTATATGAGTTTACGTTTTGTCAGTCAGTTGAACCGAACACGTGATTCAATCTAAGGATCCGAGATAGGGGCATTTGTCTTTGGATCAATAATCAAGGAGAGGATAACTAATGAAATCTAGGAAGAGTGATAGTCACTGTAGTAGAATTCATATATTTATTGAAATCGGGATGTACGTTGACATAGAGCCGGTCTGCTGTCCTAGTCAATGTGATGGTCATTGTTTTAGTTTCGGATTATTCACGGGACGATGAATATCAGAAAGCTCTCAAATACCATTGCACAAGGATTCTGGTTTTGTTTTGTTTTCACATGACTATTACGGCTAAAGCTAGTTGTTGATGCCAAGAGATTTTTTAGCCAGATTATGGGACAAAATAATTCTGTGGTCAACTAATCTTGAAAAGATTAGAGTTTCAAACACAGAAGGCCTTGCATCCACTCACATCGTCTTCTCAGACTACTCACTTGGAGTTTCAACATGTTAGATGTATACTGTCTCGATGTTTTGATACAACAATTAAAATACTAAAGTTGTACTAGCACACTTGATGATAAACTAACTGGTTACTCAGCATGAAATCACTATATATCACACCGTATGTATGCCTTGAAGATCTTGGATATGATGTAATATAATGATTCATGTATTCATTGCTGGACTATTTACGTATGTGTAAAACAATAGTTATGGACTATTTCGAATAGCGCATATTTTAGTTTACTGTTAGGATAAATAATTCAGTTGAAAAGAGTACATTGTACGTATTCGATCACAATTAATCTAGTCTTTGCGGAAACAATTCAGTTCCCAAAATGACAAAACGTGTATTTGTGTGAACTATCAACCCGCACATATTCTATAATCATTGAATTTACAACATTTCCTTTTTAGTGCCAAGAGATGGAGGTTAGTAAGCTGATGGCCGAACGTCATCTCAAAGAACACCAAGGTGATCTCTACGAGACCTTAGTAGACCTATGCAGATAAAGAAAGGACGAAAACAACTGGTAAACCTTCATTGTATTTAATACACACATTGTACACATAAAATGAAGTCTTTCTGTACAAAACTAGTACTTTTTGCTGTCATTAGGTGAGGTATTTTCATCGGGTGAACATATTTCATAGGGCTTAGATAGTGTTGTAGGAGTATGAGTCATTTTGGTCGATTTGCATCAGTTGATTGTTTCTGGCTTACATACAGTCTCTTGACGAAGTGGTTTTTACCTCCCTGACATTTTCTTCCATCCAACTTGTGAATGAGGTAACGAAGCTGTATCAATTGAGATGACTATGGCTGATGTGTGTGTGTGTGTTTGATGCATTCCGACCCATCACCTACGTCGTCGAGTAATGTCAGCTGATATAGGATTAGGTTGAGAAAGAGTAAGGGGTGGTCAGACCAAAAGATGTTACCAATCGGTGAGGACTATGACTGTTGGTTTGAGGCATATAGAGAGGTGTAGACTGTCTGGTTGGGATCGTCGAGACTGTTGATGACATAGTTGAAAATTGTTGTCGATGGTGGAGCTCCATTAACTTTTCATGAACTCCTAAATACATGAAATTTACATGATTCCATAGATTCTTATCCTCTCTCCCGCGCACTTATTTCTTTCAGGTCAGTTATTGTCATGCGTTTGTTTTGATTATTGTGAACTATTACGGCTCATGAATCATCGCCATACGGACATTATTGATAATAAAGCGCTCTGCTTCTTTTCGTCCAATTCATTCACTTAGCTTTACAGTCTCATTGGTATATGATTTGTTTGTGTACATTCTGTTTGGTGGACAACAATGAAATTTAGTTCGTGTTATTATTTAAGTCATCAAATATATTTCAAAACATGTGGTGAATGTTCAAATAGTAACTGGGTGTGAAAGGTGGGTAAATATTAGGAAGAGTTTAGCGGTGATGTGGCGAAAAACAAAGCTATTAATACTAGACAACATCTGAGAGTAGTTGAATAAGTGTTTCAGTAGTTTACACAAAATGATAAGTTTTGTTATTGGTAATATTTCGAGCAAAATGAATGTCCGTGTTGACACCACTGTTGGAATTGTTTTGTTTACACATTTATGATTTCTACTCATATATATAGTTCATTTTGTTTTGCTCATTCATGGTTTTTGTAATCTTAATTATATTCCAAGACCTTGTATTAATCCTCGTTTTACCGTGAGTGCATAGGCTGAGTGATAATTAAAGAATCTTCCAGACTGTGTGATTTTTCTATATAGCGTCGTTTTTATGCTACCATCTGTTATTCTTTGTATTTTGCAGTCTAACATAGGCAGTTCCCCAATTTCACTCTCTATTTCCATAGTGATTTTTATTGGGTCGACATGGCTGTTTGTGTGTGAGAAGAGTTTCTCAATATCGTTGTTTTTTTCACTATTACATATCTCCACCAACATTTTAATGATGACCTGAATGGTTTAAGGGTATTCTCTTCCCAATAATCCATGAATATGTCGGCTATTATTGGTGAGATAGGCGATCCCCTAGCTACTCCTTCATTTTGTTGGTATATTTTCATTTCGAATGTGAAATATGCTGTTGTCAGACAGAATTCCACCCCTTTTATTATCTCTTCTACGGATAACTGTGTTCTGTATTTTAGGCCATTATCTTCTTTCAGTTTCTCTTTCAGTGCATTCATGGCCATTTGAATGGGTATTTTCATATAGACTGTTTACATCAAAGCTGATTAGTATTTCCTCTTCCTCTATTCTAGTGGTTTTTAGTCGTCTCATTAATTCAAATGAATCTACTATTGTAGCTTTTGAGTTCTCTCTTGTCGGTCTTAGTATCGTCGAGAGCGATTAAAAAGGAAAAGGTATGAAAGCATACTAGAAGTTGCACATAAACGAAAAGAAACTACCTATGAAGAAACAAATAAAAAATTATAATCAACTCATGATTGCGAAAACCCCGAATGACAGACAAGTAACCAAAGCCAATTGGATTGTATACTTGTCAGACAGAAAGCTAACAGAAGCAGAGGAAAGCGTACTGGTGAAAGGGATGAACTTCAATATTAGCAACAAAAGATTAAAACCTGAAGACATTATACCGGAATTGAAACAGCACTTGAAGTACATGATAAGCAAAAAGTAGAACTGGTACGAGCACAATGTGCATTATACTAAGACCGACAAGAGAGAACTCAAAAGCTACAATAGTAGATTCATTTGAATTAATGAGACGACTAAAAACCACTAGAATAGAGGAAGAGGAAATACTAATCAGCTTTGATGTAAACAGTCTATATGAAAATACCCATTCAAATGGCCATGAATGCACTGAAAGAGAAACTGAAAGAAGATAATGGCCTAAAATACAGAACACAGTTATCCGTAGAAGAGATAATAAAAGGGGTGGAATTCTGTCTGACAACAGCATATTTCACATTCGAAATGAAAATATACCAACAAAATGAAGGAGTAGCTAGGGGATCGCCTATCTCACCAATAATAGCCGACATATTCATGGATTATTGGGAAGAGAATACCCTTAAACCATTCAGGTCATCATTAAAATGTTGGTGGAGATATGTAATAGTGAAAAAAACAACGATATTGAGAAACTCTTCTCACACACAAACAGCCATGTCGACCCAATAAAAATCACTATGGAAATAGAGAGTGAAATTGGGGAACTGCCTATGTTAGACTGCAAAATACAAAGAATAACAGATGGTAGCATAAAAACGACGCTATATAGAAAAATCACACAGTCTGGAAGATTCTTTAATTATCACTCAGCCTATGCACTCACGGTAAAACGAGGATTAATACAAGGTCTTGCAGAATGAATACGTAGACTTACAACAACACCGGAAGACCAGCGCAACGAAATAAACGTCTTATACAAAATGATAATGTTTAACCTCGCCTAGACTACTGGCTTGCTAGTTTTCTAGCCGGTCCCAAGCCCGAATAAAGAAGGAGGGCTGGGGCGTGGTGCTAGCAACTGCACCCCTAAAACTTTACCAAGCCGCTACAGAAACTTCAATTCCCAGATATATTAAAAATTCTAAAAATTGAAACAGTAACCTTATTTTTCGCTGGAATCGGGGAAGTGAAATGACACAGGCTGGTGAAAGCCTTCGGGAAGCCAGTCAGCCGATGTGCCTTCTTTCGATGGAAGCAAAAATAAGGATGGGTACGTGGAATTTTCGTACAATGTACGAAACTGGAAAGGCTGCTCAGGTAGCCGCAGAAACGAGGAGATATAGAACAGAAGTGTTGGGAATCTGCGAGAGCAGATGGAACGGATGTGGTAGGTGCCAACTACCAACTGGAGAGACAGTAATCTATTCCGGCCACCCAGAGGACAACCACGAGCACACCGAGGGAGTGGTCATCATGTCATCAACAGCAGCTAAAGCTCTCATGCAGTGGGAACCAATCTCCTCCAGGATAATGACAGCCAGGTTCAACTCAAAATGAAGAAAGGTTACAATCATTCAATGTTATGCGCCTACAAACGTCTCAGAACAAGAGAAGAAGGAGGCGTTCTTCAGACAACCACAAGCAATAATGGACAACGTCCCAAATGGCGATATCAAAATCCTGATGGGCGACATGAATGAGAAGCTGGGACGAGACAACACAGGAAGAGAACTCACCATGGGTCGTGAGGCCCTCGGTGAAATGAACGACAATGGTGAACTCTTCTCAGACTTCTGCGCCTTCAATGATTTGGTGATTGGTGGTATTGTGTTCAAACACAAGGATATACACAAGACGACATGGATTTTACCCGATGGAAACACCAAAAACCAAGTAGACTTCATCTCAATTTCAAGAAAGTGGAGACGGAGCATACTGGACACAAGGTCGAGGAGAGGAGCAGATGTGGGTTCAGACCACTATCTAGTAGAAGGGACTTTCAAGGTGAAACTAAAAGCCTCGAGGATAGCTGGGGATAGGCCACAATGCAAGTTCAACACTCAATTACTGAAGGACACAACCACAAAAGACATTTTCACTGCAACTATCAGAGCGTAGCAGGAAACACTACGTGACATTACTGAAGAATCAGGCGTGGAAGACCACTGGAACTCTCTGAAGGTGATTTTCAAGGAAACGTGTTCAACGGTTCTAGGAAGAAAGAAGAGACAAGACAAGGAATGGCTTTCAACGGACATTTGGAAGCTAATAGAAGAGAGGAGAATGGTGAAAGAGAAAATGATTCAATGCAAAGACGAGCAAGAGAAAGAGATGCTGAGCTCAATGTACACAGCACTGGACAAAGAAGTGAAGAAGAGCGCTAGGAAGGACAAAAGACAATTCTACGACAACCTGTCTACTGAAGCTGAAAAGGCAGAAGGCAAAAGGGACCTGAGGACATTATATCAGATAACCAAATCTCTATCCGGGAAGAGACCAACACAAGCGAAACCTATAAAAGACAGCCAAGGGAAGCCCATTACCAAGGTAGAAAGACAGATTAAACAATGGGCGGATCACTTCAAAGGACTCTTAAACAGACCACCACCTACAACCCGTTTACAAATACCAACAACAGCGCGGACACAACTGCAAGTTGACACCAATCCTCCAACAAAAGCTGAAGTCTTGAATGTAATCAAGCTTCTGAAAGCTGGAAAAGCAGCTGGACCAGATGGAATACCCGCTGAAGCACTAAAAGCGGACCCAGAGACGACAGCAGACATTCTGACTCCATTATTGCAAAAAGTCTGGAAGGAGGGAAAGGTGCCTACTGACTGGAGGAAGGGTTACCTTGTGAAACTATCAAAGAAGGGCGACTTAGGCCTCACTCTGCAAGAACTGGCGAGGAATCATGCTCCTATCGACGCTAAGTAAAATCCTGAGTCGTATCATCCTGGAGAGAATAAAGGACGCACTGGAGACAGAACTCCGACCAGAACAAGCTGGATTCAGGAAAGGCAAATCATGTTCTGACCAAATTGCAAC